TTTTTTTTTTAGGTATGTTGTTATAATATATGATAAAGAAAAGCAAAATTCGAAACTTTAAAATGTATTGAAAACAAAATATGTGTGAAAAAATTGCTTATAAAGGAAATATGTATGCATTAGTATGTGTATGCAAAAATAACTAGCTACCCAAATAATTAATACAAACAATGTTGAGAAAATTATTTTCAGAGAAAGTATATCGAATAATTACGAAAGTAAAAATTCGAAATGAAATATTTCATTATTCTGAATTTAAATAGATGGCAGTTACATTTCTTATTGATATAACGTTCGTATAATAATATACTAGCTTGATGATTAATAACAAATATTTGCATGATACATTGCCTAACAATAGGATTTATAAAATTTTCAGATTTGTAACATTTCTTACTGACATCTGCTTCATTTTCTATGTAATAACTGTTCTTCATCAGCATATAAAATCAAACTCCACAGAGCATTTATGCTTTTACAAACTGTAACAAATTCTTCCAGAACGTCGACGATGTGATCGACATATTCTTGCTGTAATTAACATTATACTCGCGAAATATGATTCAGGAAAGATTATTCACAATTTAAGCGTGAATTCTGTTACGAGTGCAAACTTAACATTCTCCTCATTCGCGATTTCACTCAACATAACACACATTTCTGCAGTTATTTTATCATTGGAATTTTCAATATAACTCAACTCGATAAATGTAACTCATTAAAACGGTCGCGTTAAAGCGTTCAACTCATTCACGCTTTAACATCAATAATACATGCTTCATTTTAAAAATACATATTGCTGATAAACATCACCTGATCGTTGATAAGCATGATAAATGAATTGAATCGTAAAGGCTATTTCATCAAATAAAAATATCCACGATTCGCGCAATCATATATCAACGACTTAGTTAAAAAAACATTCCATGAGAAAAACTAATTTTACAAAACAAGTACCCTGTATACTAACGAAATATGATTAAACAGTGTGTAGAAATTCTCCAAGATAAGGAACAGAAAAAGAAACAAGTGAAATCCTTAACATTAACGGCTTGTTAAACATTTTTTTGTGAATTTTCCAGATGCTCACGGTGCTACTGAAGAGAAATTATCTGCTTGATGTACATATATATATACATATATATATATAT